ATCTTTTTTTTCTTAGTTTTTTTTATTGTTGGTTGTTTTGTCATTCAGAAACGAATATAAGTTCTCATCTTTCATGGTTGTTTGTTGGATGATGCAGAAACCCAATATAAGTTCAATGCGGACCTCTTATTCTTGTTAAGTTGGCGTAATGACTTTGGTAAGACCCCATCTCACATGAAATCTGAACTCTCCAAATATTCTCATTTTGAGTTTATTGGCCGAAGTTTTCAAAAAGTCTAATAATGCTCTGTTAGAAGATTTGTTTGTAAGTACTCCTTCGTAAACACACCATATAAACGACAGTGCTTATATTAACAGTAATAGAAACTCAATCATATCATATCAACCACTAAGCTAGCTAAAGTATATTTATATGACCAACATTAGAAGCAAAAAGTCCCACAACCGCTACGTTCAAATCTTGTTTGTTTGAAAATCGGAATGGTTAAAGCATGTGTTTTGAAGTTCCCTTGAGATTTGTGAAAACAAATCCTGTATTGATGCTTTGTGCGAGCCGTTGTAAACATTTGACTAAAATAATGTTTGAAAGTCGCATGAAATCTTTTTCGATTGATTGTGTTGGAGGCTATCTGGCAAAGACCATTGTAGTTAATGTCACTCTCAGTTTCGTGACTCTCTCCGTCTGTGTCATGTGTGGTCTCCTTATTCTTCCACTGGAAATGCCTCGTTTCTGTCCATCAGCAAAGTGACGAGCAAAGTTGCCCTTACAAGGGCCTTAACACTTCGCTGGCCGCCCATGATTGAGCACGCAGCAGTTTCCCTCAACCACGTGGTTGCTAATTAGTGAAAATTCTAGGCTTCATTTCCGTGCGCACGAGTGCCCCCAGCACGCACGGCCGTGCGGGTCCTCCGTATGGGCCCCTTGCGGCCCCAGCGCGGTGTTCAGAAAACAAATTGCAAAGTTTTTCTCTGCTTCATCTTCTTTTTGTTCTCCTCCCTTGTCGTCTACCTTCTTCTTCCCCTCCCACGATCTCCTTCGTCCCTCCGGCTCCCTTCTACTCTCCCTCCGGCTCCCGCCTACTTCCCCTCCCGCCATCTCCTTCGTCCCTCCCGCCATCTCCTTCGTCCCGCGATCTGGGCTGTAGATCTCTTAGATCTGATGGCCCAAATCTGGCTATGTTGTTTTTTGGGGTCTGTAGTATCTTCCGTCTGCTCAATTTTACTGACGCCGGTAGGGCCTCCAAAAACGGGACCGAAAAAGGCCCGATCTGGGCCATCGGATATATAAGAGATCTATAGCCCAGATCGGACCAAATTCAAATTTGAAATCAGCGCCCGACCCCCTCCCCCTCCCTGTTTTTTTCTTCTTCTTCTTTCTCCTCTTTGTCTAAAAGGGCCCCACAAATATTTAGCAGGGTGTCCATACGTCTGGAAGGATGTCCATTGGACTGCTGTAGGTCTTCGAGCAGGCCAGCATTATATCCTAGATTCGGATTCAGGTCTGTGTTTCACGAGTTATGGGTTACGAGCTTACTACAAACACTACAGTAGCTGTCTCGTTTTTTTCCCCCCTTTTCTTACGTGCAGTGGCCCTAAGGGCCTGGCTCCACTCATCAGCACTCGCAGAAAAGAAAAACAGATGGCTTATATGGTTCCAGTCGGCAGGAGATGGGTGGCCACTGGACGGGTCGTCACCGGATTCGTACTAAGGAGGGAGCAGGCCAGCTATATATGGTGTAGCTTCAAATTTAGGTTCGTGTTTCAGCAGTTATGGGTTACTGACTTACTAACTTGGCATGTGATTTTCAGGGTTTCACTCCACTAGTCACCAAATGTGCAAAACTAGAATGAATTTTATCCAATAAACTGGAACCATATAAGCCATCAATTTTTCTTTTATGCAAATGCTGATGAGTGGAGCGAGGCCCTTAGGAAGTTAGGGCCACTGCACATAAGAAAAGGAAAAACAAAAAACAAGACAACCACTGTATGTGCAAAACTAGAATGAATCTTCTCCTAGAAACAAGAACGATACAAGCCATCTGTTTTTCTTTTCTGCAAGTGTGTTTTGAATCTTGACTTCTGTTTTGATTTAAACACAAGATTCGTGAAAATCATACAAAACCACAAAACCCAACATTTTGTATAGAGTGAAAAATTAGAACTCTTTTCTGGTTTTAAAAAACGATACATTTTCAACCACTTTCCAAAAGACAAAGAAAAAAATTAGGCAAATGGTAGAGCGATCCTCAAAATGTGGACGAAAACTCTTACTTGCAAAGATCCTGTCATAGGACTATAAGTCATTCTCAATAGATTGACAAAAAAGCAGAGCTCCAATAAAACAAACTCGAAAGTTGTGAAAAAACAGTTTTAGTGAATTCTGGCATATAGGGCTATATGCCGTTTCCAACATTTTATAGAGTCTATAAAGCAATTTTGAAGTTAACAATAAAATCCTTGCCAAAAAATGTATGTTATGTAAAATAATAGCATAAATAATTTTTGTCTCGGAGATATCTTCAAATTGTTAGTCAAACGTAAGTTAAAAATAAAAAACCAAGAGAAAAAAATAAAAGAAAAGTTAAAAAAAAAATAAAAAAGAGGGAGTTTGCCCACAACTGTACACATGATCTTTTGAGATAATAAAAAAAATCTATATTTAAATTTCTAAATATACAATACTTCGCCTAGTAATGATTTTTTGTTGAAAAACCTGATTTTTTCATCGCCATTTCCAGTGGTTCTCAAAAATTATTTTTTTGCTAGGTTACCAGCCCGGTCCGGGACCCTTTTCTATTCCAGGTTGTCCGATTGGACAACTCCCCCGGTTGTCCGAGTGGGGCCCAGTGTCCGGGGTGGTGGAATAATTGCATGTGGGTCTGACGTTTTCGGCCCCGCGGTGATGTTTTTTGGGGTCTGTAGTACCCCCCTTCCGTCTGCTCAATTTTACTGACGCCGGTAGGGCCTCCAAAAACGGGACTGAAAAAGGCCCGATCTGGGCCGTCAGATCTAAGAGATCTACAGCCCAGATCGGGCCAAATTCAAATTTGAAATCAGCGCCCGACCCCCTCCTCCTCCCAGTTTTTTTTTTCTTCTTCTTTCTCCTCTTCGTCTAAAAGGGCCCCACAAATATTTAGCAGGGTGTCCATACGTCTGGAAGGATGTCCATTGGACTGCTGTAGGTCTTCGAGTAGGCCAGCATTATATCCTAGATTCGGATTCAGGTTTGTGTTTCACGAGTTATGGGTTACGAGATTACTACAAACACTACAGTAGTTGTCTCGTTTTTTTTTTCCCCTTTTCTTACGTGCAGTGGCCCTAAGGGCCTGGGTCCACTCATCAGCACTCGCAGAAAAGAAAAACATATGGCTTGTATGGTTCCAGTTTCTATGAGAAGATTCATTCCAGTTTTGCACATACAATAGTTGTCTCGTTTTTTTTTCTTTTTTCTTTTTCTTACGTGCAGTGGCCCTAAGGGCGTGTCTCCACTCATCAGCACTTGCAGAAAAGAAAAACAGATGGATTGTATCGTTCCAGTTTATAGGAGAAGATTCATTCTAGTTTTGCACATACAGTAGCTGTCTCATTTTTTGTTTTTCCTTTTCTTACGTGCAGTGGCCCTAAGGGCCTCGCTCCACTCATCAGCACTTGCATAAAAGAAAAACGGATGGCTTATATGGTTCCAGTTTCTTGGATAAGATTCATTCTAGTTTTGCACATTTGGTGACTAGTGGAGTGAAACCCTGAAAATCATATGCCAAGTTAGTAAGTCAGTAACCCATAACTGCTGAAACACGGACCTAAATTTGAAGCTACACCATATATAGCTGGCCTGCTCCCTCCTTAGTACGAATCCGGTGACCACCCGTCCAGTGACCACCCATCTCCTGCCGACAGGACCCTTGCCAATTTTTGGCAGGGACCTTTTCAAGTACAAGCAGGGGTAGTCTAAATAATGTGAAAGGGCTATGTGTTCTCTCTCTCCCTCCCTCCCTCTCTCTCTCTCTCTCTCTCTCTCTCTCTCTCTCTCTCTCTCTCTCTCTCTCTCTCTCTCTCTCTCTCTCTCT